AAGCCAACTAGGTCCATTACTACCAATCCAACACAATTACAGCAAAAATGTAACATTAAGCAGAGAACTTGTATAAAACCATTAGAAAACAGACCAACATCCACTTGGGAGACGTTTCATACAAAACCAAATCCATCCATTTTCCAACATCATCCTGTATTCAACACTTCCATTCCAGTGAAAAAATGCAAAAACAACCAACCTTGGGTGAAGACCACGTGTGTGCGTTGGAACAGAATCACGTTTGCCTAAGCTGTTCCGTTGGAACTCACATGCGGAAAACCCTCTTTTGGTCGCCTCACAGCCCAACACTCGTCGAGACTTCCGGCGAAACCTCCGGCGGCAACTCCGGGACAGGGACGGAACCCCACCATGGGACGAAGCGACACCTTCAACGCCTCCCTAGGTCGCTGGGCCGGAAGGGAGGAAACACCATGCCGTCTTCGCGAACAGGTTCCACGTCGGATGCTTTGCGGCGCCGTCAAACGGAACGGGCTGTGCACGGAGGCACTACCGGCTAGGACTCTTCTCTCTATCTCTCTCTCGCTCGTGCACCCTTTTCGCGCTTTCTCTCGCGTCTAGGTCAACAAATGGGGGTTGGTGTTCCGCCTCTTCTCTCTCTACCAAGTGAAAAAAACCATTTGAAATTTGAAAACGCAACAAACGCAAGACTGCCCGTGCCCGTCCGTCCGCCACGTCAAATTTTGAAGCAGGGGGTTTGGATCAGATTTTCTCAGAACGCGGCAGCTTTTTTCCGTTTGTAAACGTGGCCTCTCTCTTCGCTGACACTGGATGGTCGAAATGTTGTCAAAATCTGTTGTCTAATATCATTTCCAATAAAAAAAAAATTTTAAAAAATCCATATTGTTTATTTAGTTTTCTCAAGTGACACAGCCCAATCAATCCATCTCACTGTTCAAATAAAAACAATTTAAGAAATATAAAGAAATAAAAGTTGGCGAAAACATATACCCAAAATCGTGCATGTTGGCGAGTGATGTTTGGGTGCTAGAAACAATAAATAATTAAATCAAATTGTTTGTCTTTATTGCCACACAATGAAAAATAAAGGTGTGTCAGCATTTAGCTGACTAATACAGACTGGCATCCCTGCCTCATTACTTTTCTTTTACTTCTACAAGACTAAAATAATTCAAAGCCATAATATAATCCAAATTTAACCACGTCTCTTACTTCAAACCACAAGTACATAATACGAAAGAATATATTAAAAAGACATATAGATATGAAAAATTGATTATTTGACGGAGAGATCTGTAAAAAAGTCATAAAAAAGGCACGTAAGTATGAAAAGTGAATCAGATATTCCAAAAGCGAAAGGATCCTGAAGTCAATGTTTTTCACGAAAGCAAGAGTTTCAAAGACAGAGCATTGCAGATAATTGATCGTGTTTCCAAGAAGTGAGTCTAAAAGTGAAAAAAGTTGAGAATTAACTAAGGTGAAGATCGGAGGTAATGGTAACGAAACAAGTATAAAAGGAGATGCAGAAGGTCCTTTTAGAGCAACCAAAACCCTTGGAGGAAAATGGGGTCCCTAATGGCTTCTGCCACTATCACTCTTGCATTTGCCATAATCCTTTTCAGCCTCCCATCTGAAATCTCAGCCAACCACTACTCCTACTCCTCTCCTCCACCTCCCAAGAAACCTTACCACTACCCTTCTCCACCTCCACCGTCTCCTTCACCACCGCCACCCTACCACTACCCATCTCCACCACCACCACCAAAGAAGCCATACAAGTACTCTTCACCACCCCCTCCAGCCCCCACATACCCTCATCCACACCCCCACCACCTCAACCCCTCATCCTCACCTAACCCACACCTTCACCCTCAACCAACCCATCTACACCACTCCACACACCCTCACCACCAGACAAAAACGAATAACAGTAAACCCATCTCCCACCACCACCAGGCCACACCCATAACCCTCACCCCACCCAGTCTAACCACTACCCTCACCTCCTCCTAAATCCATACAAATAATCCCTCCCCTCCTCCACCGGTGTCCAACACCCCTACCCCTCACCCCACCCTCTAACCACTCCCCCTCCACCTCCATCGTTCACACCTACCCTCCTCCATGTTCCCCTCCCCAGTTTTACCACTCTCCTCCCCATCAACCTCACCAGAAGCCCTTTACAAGTACAAGTCTCCTCCTCCTCCTCCTCCCCAGTTCTATTCTCCACCCCACCCCACTACTACTACAAATCCCCTCCTCCTCCTTACCACTACTAGATACTTCACACTACATGGTACGTAATAACATCTTCCAACATTTTCTTTCTCTTTTCTATCATCAGTATGTGAAATCTTTTCTCAGTAAGCTGTCACGTGGACTCATACACTGTATACGTGTTTTCTGTAGGATCTTAAATCTGAAAGCCATGGACGGGAAGCTGCACTTCTTGCCTGCAGATTCACCGAGAATTATAAATGTTCATCAATTGTTTAAAGAACCGTCTTTACTTCCATAGTCATTATGCTTTTCTTCTATTATTAGACAGTTGTAAGGCATGTGTTCTACATGTGTCTGCACTTGTATGAATCTTTTGTAATTTTCAAAGTCTGCTTTATCAACCTCACCAAATAAATCATTCCTTCCCATGGGATTCACTTTTCCCTGTTTCTCACCCTTTTTATACTCCTCGTAATATTAATAATTTACGTTTATAATTAATTATCGTTTACCAATATTGTATCTAATGCTATATTCGGAGCATATTTGAATGGAAAATTTGAACTTTTAATAAACGTAAAATAATACCCATCGTACGTTAACGTTTTGGTGAGGAAAATATATATATCCGTGAACAAAATCTCCGTGATTAACGCTGGAATCCTCGCCTGAGTGTAATAATTTAATCTGTCTGCGTCTTCTGCGTCATATTTAATATAAGTTAAAATTAGTTTTAAGTTTAAGTTATGCATGAGTTAGTGAATAAAAATAAGATTTATAATATCGTATTAGTTTTAATAAAGAGCTTTTGTACTACATAAAGCCAAAGTCTCACGTAAAACCAAAATCCCCTCACATACAGCACCACCAACTTCTTTGTTGCGTGCGTTCTGGCCCAATCTCTTTTAGTGGCCCTTCTGTGCCTTCAAGATCGAACCACATTGATTGAGCAAAGTTTTCATTCCAGTCTTTTATTCCCAGCCAATTTTCACTGTCTCAGATCATTATTCAGCAAATTTAGCTATGTATGTGAATTCCTTGTCCCTAAAGTACTACATCATGTGTACCAAATAAACATCTTTGAAGGCATCAGAACAATCTAGTACATTGTTGGGTTCCTTAACCATTATGATAAAGTTCCTCAATAAACTTTATTGGGAGAGATAAAATCATAAACATAAATGCATACGTCAAACTTTATTGAAAGAGAATAAAAAATCTGTTTCAACTATTTTTCTGGAGAAAACTTTATTTTAAAACAAAGTCCGAAGACAAGGGTTCATTTATTAAAAATCAATATTTGAACAGTGTCGCTAATACACAAAGAAATTCACTTAATTTATATTTTAACTTACTTTTTTTTATCATAAGTTGTTTGAATTATAGTATGTTATCTTGGCTTTATTCTGAGTTTTGAATAGCTCAAAAAATAATTTATGTACATCGTCTCCAATTTCAAACCAATAAAAATTATATAGCATAATGAAACATAGATTAAATACATTTTTATTCTTTAAACTTTATTATACTGAAGTTTTGAATAGAAAATCCGTTATCTTAATAATTACTGTTCAAAATGAAGGATATATTGAAAAAATGGAGGTGGAGATGCACGTTTAGAAAAAGATGATGTTTTGTTTTACTCACGGTTTAAGACTCTAAGCCCTATCCACGTGTCACGTTGCATGTTGAGCCTAACTACTGCATGCTGCCACCTTTCCATGCGTTTTCAATTTACACTTATACCCCTGTCCTACACCGCCGTGTACTCTCCAACAGCACCCTTCGAAGGCTATAAATGTAATTACATATTCACGGAGGACGACCCATAAAAACGCGAAGAAGAAGAGCCGTGGTAGCAGAGTAGGCAGAGGCAGCACGCGCAGACATGGTGGCAAAGCGAGGTCATGGTCTCACGTGCTTCGCACGTCTTTCACTCTTCCTCTTCGCTCTAACCCTATCTTCTGCTCGCCAAACCACGGTTCAAGACATAGCCAGAAAGTTGAAGCTCGAGGACAACCAACTTCTGCGAACGGAGAAGAGGTTCAGAGTCTTCATGGGGAATTACGGGAGGAACTACTCCACACGGGAAGAGTATTTACAGCGTTTGGAGATTTTCGCAGGAAATATGCTGAGAGCGGCGGAGAAACCAGGGCGCTCGACCCCCACTGCCATCCACGGCGTCACGCGTTCTCCGATCTCACCGAGGACGAGTTTTCAACGCCACTACACCGGTGTCAATGGCGGATTCCCGTTGAATAATGGCGCCGGCGGTGTGGCACCGCCGTTGGAGATGGATGGACTTCCGGAGGATTTCGATTGGCGAGAAAAAGGGGCTGTCACCGAAGTTAAAATGCAGGTACGTATACATACATACATGACAAGTTTAGCTTTAATTTCTACGACTAACTACAATTCTTCATTGTTATGATTTTTTAAAGTGGTATATTTTTTTTTTCACTACTCACTAATTATTAGAAGTATTTAATATTTTATTTTATTTTTAGCTATACTGATTCCAGCTACGAACAATTAGTTAAAATGTCACTATTAAAAATTACATCAAAAATAAAAGTGTATGGGAGAAAAATTGGTATGCCCATACATTTTTTCCAGGTCTAACCTTAAAACAAGTTTTGTAGGGCCTGAAGATTCTTAAGTTAACAATACTGTATGATTATTTGTGATCAGATTTGTATGACTATTTTCCTTTTCTAAGTGAAAGTCTTTTTTAAACTTAATTAATCTGTCTTACGAATATTCCATTTTTTAAGTGGTTCGCATAATTTGAAAACAGGGTAAATGTGGATCATGCTGGGCTTTCAGCACCACGGGATCTATAGAAGGAGCCAATTTTATTGCCACCGGAAAGCTCCTCAATCTTAGTGAACAACAGCTGGTAGACTGTGACAACCAGGTAAAGGACTGTTAGATGCTTATCTCTATGTAACTTGCTTTCTTCAACACTTTTCAATGCATATAAATGAATGTCACAAATTTTATGCATCCCGATTCATTTCTGAACTGGGGTTTTACTTTACATGAATCCATCTTGCCCCTGATAACTTTTTGTTCAATTTCTGTTTCCAAGTGCGACATAACAGAAAGGACTACATGTGACAATGGCTGTAATGGAGGTCTTATGACAAATGCTTACAAGTATTTGCTGGAGTCTGGAGGGTTGGAGGAGGAGTCTTCATACCCCTACACAGGGGAAAAAGGTGAATGCAAGTTTGATCCGGTGAAAGCAGCTGTTAGGATCACAAATTTCACCAACATTCCTGTGGATGAGAACCAAATTGCTGCATATTTAGTCAAGCACGGTCCACTTGCTAGTAAGTCCCCCTAATAAAACAATCCTTAATGTTTAATGTTAGTAATATCTGTATGTCTTAACATTTATGAACTTTGATGTGTAGTTGGTCTGAACGCAATTTTCATGCAAACATACATTGGGGGTGTGTCATGCCCTCTCATATGCAGCAAGAGATGGCTCAACCATGGTGTGTTGCTTGTGGGATATAGAGCAAAAGGGTTCTCAATTCTGAGGCTTGGCAACAAACCATACTGGATCATCAAGAATTCCTGGGGGAAGAGATGGGGAGTAGATGGGTATTACATGCTCTGCCGAGGGCATGCCATCTGTGGAATGAACACAATGGTGTCTGCTGCAATGGTTGCCCAAACACAAACAACTACACAGAGTTATGCTTCCTATTAGCTGCCTACTTTCGCTACGTATTACTTATGCAAAAAAGTTTTTATTTTTACTACTATAAAAGTTTTTTAAAAAAACTTTCATATGTACTGTAGTTTATAGACATGTGATGTATGATAATGTGTGTTCTATCTATGATAAGATCTTTGTAAGATGAAAATGGAGCATATCATGTCAAGAGTTATCTGTCTGCTATGTTACAAGAATTTTGGTTGGAGTTGATGAGAAAATTCTGCAATTTTAAAATGTGTGCGGGAAATTAGAAAAAAAGATTCCGTTGCCGGGACTTGAACCCGGGTCTCTCGGGTGAGAGCCGAGTATCCTTACCAACTAGACTACAACGGATTGATGAATTAGCTTCCATATTCAAAATATATTAATTACTTATTTATATTTATTAATAGAAACAACACCATCTTACTCTTCACATCTGATCTTATTACTTTAGTTAATGTGTTCGTGTGATTGAAGTACAAGCTGATAGAACAAACATGGTTGGAAAATTGACGTAATTAGATGAAAATTTGCTAATTTCATTAAATTAAATTGAATATTAATGAAAAAACTTTAATGACTTAGTTGTGTTTTAATGAGTATGAGACTAGGACTTATACATGGAATCTGCAATTACTAACGGTGATAAACTTCACACCAACACTGTTTTCATTTTCATCTCCTGGACTGGCACTACTTAAATAAATAAACTTTTTCATCTACTGCGCTTGCATTATTTTATTTTCATCATACCTCGAAGCAAAATATTTATAAATTTAGGGACTTAAAGTGGGCCATTTAATCTTCAATATAATTATTCATACCGCTTCAATAAATCAAAATAATCATTTGTATACTTGTCAGTTTCGTCTACATTGTGGATTTATTAGGTTGAGTTGAATTTCAGATTATATAATACATCAGAAAATTTAAAGTTGTCACTTAATATAATCTATAGAGGAGGTGAGTGTGTTTTAGAAACTAAGTAAATGAGTAATTTAACATGAGTTGGTGTATTTCCCTATAAATGAAAAAAAAAGATATATATATATATATATCCCATTATTTGGTTTTAGAATCTTGTAGGATGCTATTAAATTATGTTTTACTTATAACATTTCAAACCATTCATCAATCCGTTGTAGTCTAGTTGGTCAGATACTCGGCTCTCGCTTGAGAGACCCGGGTTCAAGTCCCGGCAATGGAATTTTTAATTTTACAGGTTTTTATGTTATTTTTATATTTTGTTACAAATAGGTCTTCTTTTTTTTCGACTTAGATGACGTATCGTTTATACATAATTGTCACATGTATTTTGTAATTGAAAAATTGAAGGTAAATTGGAAAAAAGAAATTAAAGGTTGCTCCTTTCTCTGATTTCAATTGTAGAGAACAGTTTGATTTTGAGGTGTTCGCGTTTTTGTTCGTCGCGATTTGGGTTGCTCCCTTGATGGCTTGCGATTTCGATCTCCTTTCTGGCGTGGTGATCTTTCGCGATTAGGGTTTGTGCGGAGGAGTTTTGGGGCTCGCGATGGTGTTGTTTTGTTTCGTGGTGGTGCGACTCTGGTGTAGAAATCTAGTTCGCATTGTGATGGAGCCTTCACGCGTGGCTCGCGAGGTGGTTCAATGAGGATGATGCGAGCGCACAATGGTTTTTCCAGTGTTGGTGGCTGTTGTGAGATGCATTGAAGGTGAACGGAGGACCGACGAGGTACTGATGGCGTTCCTGCTATGGTTGAACAGCGTGGTGGCTGACTATGAATTTAGGTTTTGGTGGGTTGTTCTGATATAGTTCATATGGGAAGTCGAAGATGATGATGTGGTGCTATTTGATGCAGGTTTCTGATGCGATGAAGGAGGAGATGATGTCGCTAACTGGTGGTTGTAGCGAAGCTCGCAAGGAAGAAGAAAGGGATCTGTGATTTAGGATTACATGGCAATTGGGATTTTCTGATTTCTAGGTTTGCAGGTGATGAAGATGAATGTGCAGTGACCATGGAGGTTGGCGACAACGACTTGTGGTTCGATGAGGATGATGGTGACGGAACAACGTGGTTGACAGCGACATTGACTAGGTCAGGGAATTAAGGTTTGGTGACAGCCTGTTATAGGATATTATTAGTAGTCAACCGATCGGTGGAATGTAGGAAGACGTCGAGCAGTGAGGGACAAGAAGAAGGAAACCGAACCGCTGAAGGCGGTGAGACTACCGAGCGAGGCCTAGCAGTGAAGAAGAAGGAGGACACCCAACGGCTGAAGCACGGGCGCCCATCAGTTGAAGATTTTCCAATTTAATTTGATTTTCCAATTTTGCTCTTACTTAAATTATATTTCTACTATGTACACTTCATTTTTTAATTCAATTTTAAAAATACAATTCAGTCGCGTTTTTAATGCCGCATAATAAAAAATTACAGTGTCAGCATGTCACGAAACATCCAACTTAACGGTGTTTGAACAGTTTGACAAAAAACCTTTATTTGATCTAATTTTACAAAAATAAGGATCTAATTGAGATGTCGAAAAAAAAATGACCTATTTAAAATTCTGGACCAAAAATAGGAACTTAAAGTGAGATTAAACCTAAAATCTAACTTTTAGATAAGATATCATATTAATATATAAAATAAATGGAAATATTTAAAGGTCTAAATAAAAATTAATTTCTTTTACTATTGAAAAGTATTTGAATGCGTGCATTAGTTTATCATGTTTATGAATTTTATTTTTGAAACTAGCATTTGGTGTAGAAAAATAAAGTAAAATAATATATTTTGTTACGTAAAATTAATTAAAATATTGTTGGAAGACATTTTCCTAATATTTTGTCGATTCATTAATTCTTTAATAAAAAAGAGGTATTTAATGTGTTTGATGGGTCATTGAAAAGGTTTGGTTTTATGACAAATGTATTTCATTTTCAACGTTATTTAATGTGTTATTGAAATTGGATCCTTTTCAAATCTCTATTTTATCGTTCATTGAGTTGTGCAAAAAGTTTTGTAGTTAATTACTATGTTCCTCTACCCTAATAATTAATGCAACTGAGTTTTAATTATTAAAAATTCTTTTGAAATATGTATTTGGCATTGCCAGTTTTGTTAAACGAGTGAATGTTGTCCTATATTTTAAAAACATTTTAAATACTATTACTCTATAAAATATCGCTATTTTATTTTAAAATATACCAATTGTAATTTTAATCTTAAGTCTTTAGTTATTTATCCAATAAATACTAACAGTTTTGGCCCATCTTTTATACTCATTATCTTGTTTTTTTTTTTTTATATAAAACTTAGAAGTAATACGTTTTATATCTTTAATTTATTATCGCTCAAACCTATTATACGTTATTTTATAATTACTTGCTCGCAGTACATTCTTTTGGAATATTTATTCTTTTTTATCGCATGTCTATATTTATTAAATATATATTTTAATTGATATAAAAACTTAATTAATATATTATATTAATATAAAAAATTAAATATATTTTTAGTCTCTTAAATTTTGATACGAAATTAAAATTTATTTTCTCTAAAAAAACTTTGATATATTTTAATTTTTAAACTTATAAAATTAAATAAATATAATTGTTTTAAACTAATTATTTTAATTTTTTATAGGTCAAACTGTTCCCTGTTAGGAATTGAATGATTAAGGCTTTTAAAAGTCAAAATATATCAAAATTCTCTTAAAAAATTATATTTTCCTGTAAAATTTTATAAACTAAAAAATATATCACTATAAAATAGTTATGATGGGTGATTGATATATCTACCAACAACATGGTTTAATTATTAACTATTATTATAATTCAACATAAAAACGACTATATCACAGGTAAAAGGAATAGTTTATAATTGTAGAAACCATAAATGTATTCAATAGACACAGAATTTAAAAAGATAAACTAATATAAATTATCCTTTTCCATGTATTTATTTTACTTTAAAGACGTAACAAGAGGAAACGTGTGTGGTTCTTAGGAGCTGAACTTGTTGCCTCATTGTTATGACCTCAAATGACTAAAAGCCCCTCAAATGGTTTTTCAAATCTTGTCCACCTTCATGTCATCAATGGTTGGTGGAGGGGTATTGTAGTCATATTGTATTACACGTGTATAAATAAGAAACAGCAAAAATTTATCCAAACTCTACCATGTGAAAACAAAGTTATTGTAAAGGGATAATTCTGATTATTTATAATAATCATTTTAATTTGGGAGAGAAATAAAAAAAATAATACATGCAATAAAATTACTACTTTAAAAGAGAAAGGTTTTTCATTTTTAACATTCTGAGAAATTATCATAAATTCAGTGTTGAAAGAAATATTCTAAGAATTTATCATAATAAATAATTACAATGGTAAAAAGAAAAAAAAAAAACTGGTGGCATGTCGCCACAGACACATGTCCGCAAGAAGAAATTGACAACGTAGAGAGTAGAGAAAATGCATGTTCTTCTGTTAATTGTTGTAGCTGAATGCCTGTAGAGTCTGAGACCCACGTTTCTAAATTGGACCTTGAAAATCTTAGCTTCTGATTCTTCTCCGATTAATTTCTTTGGTCGGCGACCACCACCTACCGTCACTCAACCACCATACGGGTATTTTTTGTTTTTGTTTTTGTTATTTTTAATGTTTCATATGCTGGTTTTTTTATTCAGATCTGGTGCTGTTTTTCTTTTCCTCAATGCATTCCTCATTGAGGGACAATGTTGTTTGGTTTTGTCTCCTAATTAGAATTATAGGGAATCTCTTACTTTTTTTTTTTGTTGTTGTTAGCTTTGTAATTTGTGTTCTTGGTAGGTTATGTTGCTTTCTTGATGAAGCTGTATTAACTGTCCATTTAAAACCGACACAAGTTTTGAGCGGTATACAGTGATGAAGGTAAAATTGATTTACGGGATGTTGTCCATATACGGTTTTTGGTTTGTCTAAATTTCTGTTTCCTTTTTGTTTATATAAAAGCAATGTGGGTATTTCAAGTCAGGAAGATTTGGGATCTAGAAGTAGCATATATGTGTTCTTTACCTAATGTATTTTATTTCAGATCTGGAAGGGAAGTGGAATGAATTAATGGACAAATATTTCGTTTCGTGATATTGTTTTTGATCGGAATTTGGGTATTATGCGCTAACTAATTCCCACATAGAGTAATATAGGATACCCGTTGAAGGATTTAGGTGCCTGGTTCTCCCCTTTTAATAGTTAGTTTCTAAAAGTGGGTTCTCTAAGTTTTTGGGTTACTTATCAGGATCCGAGTATCAAACTTGTATTCCAGTTGAAGTTGAAATATTAGGAAAAGCGTGCATCAGGTTTTGTATGGTATCAGGTTGGAGAGTGGGGGAATGCTTGGTTCACTGAATTTTCAGGTTGTTTTACTTTTGGATTTCGGGAATGATGCTCATGTATCTGGAATAACTTGAATTGAATGTTCAGGTTGTTTTACATTATATTTGAATTTTTGAGACTGTACTTNGAGGTGAACGGAGGACTGACGAGGTACTGATGGTGTTCCTGCTGTGGTTGAACGGTGTGGTGGCTGACTATGAATTTAGGTTTTGGTGGGTTGTTCTGATGTAGTTCAGATGGGAAGTCGAAGATGATGATGTGGTTCTATTTGATGCAGGTTTCTGATGCGATGATGGAGGAGATGATGTCACTAACCGGTGGTTGTAGCGAAGCTAGCAAGGAAGAAGAAAGGGATCTGTGATTTAGGATTACATGGCAATTGGGATTTTCTGATTTCTAGGTTTGGAGGTGATGAAGATGAATGTCCAGCGACCATGGAGGTTGGCGACAACGACTTGTGGTTCGATGAGGATGATGGTGACGGAACAACGTGGTTGACAGCGACATTGACTAGGTCAGGGAATTAAGGTTTGGTGACAGCCTGTTATAGGATATTATTAGTAGTCAACCGATCGGTGGAATGTAGGAAGACGTCGAGCAGTGAGGGACAAGAAGAAGGAAACCGAACCGCTGAAGGCGGTGAGACTACCGAGCGAGGCCTAGCAGTGAAGAAGAAGGAGGACACCCAACGGCTGAAGCACGGGCGCCCATCAGTTGAAGATTTTCCAATTTAATTTGATTTTCCAATTTTGCTCTTACTTAAATTATATTTCTACTATGTACACTTCATTTTTTAATTCAATTTTAAAAATACAATTCAGTCGCGTTTTTAATGCCGCATAATAAAAAATTACAGTGTCAGCATGTCACGAAACATCCAACTTAACGGTGTTTGAACAGTTTGACAAAAAACCTTTATTTGATCTAATTTTACAAAAATAAGGATCTAATTGAGATGTCGAAAAAAAAATGACCTATTTAAAATTCTGGACCAAAAATAGGAACTTAAAGTGAGATTAAACCTAAAATCTAACTTTTAGATAAGATATCATATTAATATATAAAATAAATGGAAATATTTAAAGGTCTAAATAAAAATTAATTTCTTTTACTATTTAAAAGTATTTGAATGCGTGCATTAGTTTATCATGTTTATGAATTTTATTTTTGAAACTAGCATTTGGTGTAGAAAAATAAAGTAAAATAATATATTTTGTTACGTAAAATTAATTAAAATATTGTTGGAAGACATTTTCCTAATATTTTGTCGATTCATTAATTCTTTAATAAAAAAGAGGTATTTAATGTGTTTGATGGGTCATTGAAAAGGTTTGGTTTTATGACAAATGTATTTCATTTTCAACGTTATTTAATGTGTTATTTAAATTGGATCCTTTTCAAATCTCTATTTTATCGTTCATTGAGTTGTGCAAAAAGTTTTGTAGTTAATTACTATGTTCCTCTACCCTAATAATTAATGCAACTGAGTTTTAATTATTAAAAATTCTTTTGAAATATGTATTTGGCATTGCCAGTTTTGTTAAACGAGTGAATGTTGTCCTATATTTTAAAAACATTTTAAATACTATTACTCTATAAAATATCGCTATTTTATTTTAAAATATACCAATTGTAATTTTAATCTTAAGTCTTTAGTTATTTATCCAATAAATACTAACAGTTTTGGCCCATCTTTTATACTCATTATCTTGTTTTTTTTTTTTTATATAAAACTTAGAAGTAATACGTTTTATATCTTTAATTTATTATCGCTCAAACCTATTATACGTTATTTTATAATTACTTGCTCGCAGTACATTCTTTTGGAATATTTATTCTTTTTTATCGCATGTCTATATTTATTAAATATATATTTTAATTGATATAAAAACTTAATTAATATATTATATTAATATAAAAAATTAAATATATTTTTAGTCTCTTAAATTTTGATACGAAATTAAAATTTATTTTCTCTAAAAAAACTTTGATATATTTTAATTTTTAAACTTATAAAATTAAATAAATATAATTGTTTTAAACTAATTATTTTAATTTTTTATAGGTCAAACTGTTCCCTGTTAGGAATTGAATGATTAAGGCTTTTAAAAGTCAAAATATATCAAAATTCTCTTAAAAAATTATATTTTCCTGTAAAATTTTATAAACTAAAAAATATATCACTATAAAATAGTTATGATGGGTGATTGATATATCTACCAACAACATGGTTTAATTATTAACTATTATTATAATTCAACATAAAAACGACTATATCACAGGTAAAAGGAATAGTTTATAATTGTAGAAACCATAAATGTATTCAATAGACACAGAATTTAAAAAGATAAACTAATATAAATTATCCTTTTCCATTTATTTATTTTACTTTAAAGACGTAACAAGAGGAAACGTGTGTGGTTCTTAGGAGCTGAACTTGTTGCCTCATTGTTATGACCTCAAATGACTAAAAGCCCCTCAAATGGTTTTTCAAATCTTGTCCACCTTCATGTCATCAATGGTTGGTGGAGGGGTATTGTAGTCATATTGTATTACACGTGTATAAATAAGAAACAGCAAAAATTTATCCAAACTCTACCATGTGAAAACAAAGTTATTGTAAAGGGATAATTCTGATTATTTATAATAATCATTTTAATTTGGGAGAGAAATAAAAAAAATAATACATGCAATAAAATTACTACTTTAAAAGAGAAAGGTTTTTCATTTTTAACATTCTGAGAAATTATCATAAATTCAGTGTTGAAAGAAATATTCTAAGAATTTATCATAATAAATAATTACAATGGTAAAAAGAAAAAAAAAAAACTGGTGGCATGTCGCCACAGACACATGTCCGCAAGAAGAAATTGACAACGTAGAGAGTAGAGAAAATGCATGTTCTTCTGTTAATTGTTGTAGCTGAATGCCTGTAGAGTCTGAGACCCACGTTTCTAAATTGGACCTTGAAAATCTTAGCTTCTGATTCTTCTCCGATTAATTTCTTTGGTCGGCGACCACCACCTACCGTCACTCAACCACCATACGGGTATTTTTTGTTTTTGTTTTTGTTATTTTTAATGTTTCATATGCTGGTTTTTTTATTCAGATCTGGTGCTGTTTTTCTTTTCCTCAATGCATTCCTCATTGAGGGACAATGTTGTTTGGTTTTGTCTCCTAATTAGAATTATAGGGAATCTCTTACTTTTTTTTTTTGTTGTTGTTAGCTTTGTAATTTGTGTTCTTGGTAGGTTATGTTGCTTTCTTGATGAAGCTGTATTAACTGTCCATTTAAAACCGACACAAGTTTTGAGCGGTATACAGTGATGAAGGTAAAATTGATTTACGGGATGTTGTCCATATACGGTTTTTGGTTTGTCTAAATTTCTGTTTCCTTTTTGTTTATATAAAAGCAATGTGGGTATTTCAAGTCAGGAAGATTTGGGATCTAGAAGTAGCATATATGTGTTCTTTACCTAATGTATTTTATTTCAGATCTGGAAGGGAAGTGGAATGAATTAATGGACAAATATTTCGTTTCGTGATATTGTTTTTGATCGGAATTTGGGTATTATGCGCTAACTAATTCCCACATAGAGTAATATAGGATACCCGTTGAAGGATTTAGGTGCCTGGTTCTCCCCTTTTAATAGTTAGTTTCTAAAAGTGGGTTCTCTAAGTTTTTGGGTTACTTATCAGGATCCGAGTATCAAACTTGTATTCCAGTTGAAGTTGAAATATTAGGAAAAGCGTGCATCAGGTTTTGTATGGTATCAGGTTGGAGAGTGGGGGAATGCTTGGTTCACTGAATTTTCAGGTTGTTTTACTTTTGGATTTCGGGAATGATGCTCATGTATCTGGAATAACTTGAATTGAATGTTCAGGTTGTTTTACATTATATTTGAATTTTTGAGACTGTACTTTCTGTCATTTGTTCATTTCGATTACTGACTAAAATCGGAAAACAAAGCAGGTACAGGGTGAATTGGCTTGTTTAAAAATTGTTACACGCCATTGATGACTCAGAAAGGTTCACTTTATACATTATAGTAAAAGAGCATTACTATGTGTAGTGTTCAACTTTTACATATCACGCAGAGGTTTTGTCACCTATTGGTTCCTTGATAATGCTCCAAATTATCATAATCTTCAGGCAATTGATGCCACATTAGAGATGAGATATAATGTGGAACCAATCAGAGAAAATGAGGTTTGGGGTAAGATAAGTTTTATGAATGTTGGTGCAAATTTAAAGCAATGGGTGAGGAAAACTACTGTTGAAGGAAGTTATTTATGAATGTTGTTGTAAAAAAATTGTGAAATTTACACTTCATTCAATTTTATCCATTTTTACATGTTGATTTCTTTTTTCCTTTTTCCTGTTTTATTAGTGTTGTACAACAAACACAAATTACACTTTTCCAATGATTTTCCTTTGAAAGTTGTTTCGTCATTATGCAGCAACAGTGACAGATGAGCACCAGTTCTTTTCAAAACCTGTGACATGAAAGTTGCAATAACTGTTAGGAAGCTTGGATGTACCTCTAATCTTTTGAAGGAAACAAGTATTAATATTTACCGTATAATTATTGCGTGGAATATCATTTAATTTGGATATGATGGAGTTCTGTGCTGAAAGTTCCCATTCAAATGGGAAACAAACTTTGAAGCATTCTAAACCTGCAGATGAAGTGAAAAGATCCAGTGAAAAGGCTCACAGAAATTCTCATTCCAATGGAAAGCAAAATTTTAAGCAAACTTCGATTTTTGTTAATCATGGTGAGCTTGTCATTGTAATGTTCATAGTCTAGTAAATAAATGGTCATTTTCCTTTACCATTGTTTGTTCATCTATTCAGCTCTAGTTTACCACTTGAAAAGTATTAAACTATCCAGACATCCCATATAGCTTGTTGGTAGCTGTTTTATTCATGCTAGTTACCAGGATGGTATGTAATAATTTTGTTTATTAGCTGAAATAACATAACTTGAGGAATATGGAAGGAGATTGATCCATGAAATATCTTTCCGATCTATATCTATGAGGACTCCAAATATGTAATCAGAGAAAACAAGCTTCAAATACCTTTCTCGCCTAGTAAGAATTAAAGAAGCAAATAATGAAATAGTACTAGCTTTCTCATAATTTGTCAGGTTTTTTTTTTTAATTTATTTAATTCTTCAAATCATTATTATATATACTTTTCTATTTTCTTTTTATATTTTAATTTTTTACTGTAACTTAAAACCTAATATGGATTGATATATCTGCAGCTGCAATTGCTTGGCATGAGGATAGAAGAAAATGGGTTGGTGATAGGTCTCAGCATCCACCAAGAATAGCTAAAGATCAAATTATTAGGTATAACTAAAGCCAACTTCCCTTTTTTCATTCACAGAATGATCAATCATTGTTATTAGAGTATAGTTATAATGAAAGTTTTGGAACGTGTTTTATCTTATGTTTTTTATGAAAGGAAATGAAATAATAATGCGTTAGGAGGGTTTTTTCACACACATTTTTCTAGTTTCTTATAGATAATTTGCAATTTTATTTAAAAACTAGAGTTTCTTCATTCATTCTTAAGAAACAGGAAATCACTATTCTCTTCCTTGTCATCTTTTATACCCGTTCCATGATGAACCCTATTCCTCACCTGTCCTTTCCAATATGTCTTGTTTCTGGCATTAGAAGAACTCATATAAGCTGATCCCCTTTTTCTGATCTTACACTATTATAATTCATTTACATTTTACCTAATTCATATATAAACAATAAATGACACGTGTAATTAAGTTTTACATATTTTTCTGGCACATGTAATAATAAGTTTTAAATTACTAAATTGGATGTAAACTTCAAAGTGGATTGAAGTTGACTTATATGAGCATCACCCATTATTAGAATGTCATAACTAGCTGTTACTAATTCTAAAACAAATATCCATGAATAGAGTTTCTAAAAAAAATAAAAAATTATGTTGTTTCTTTTGGGATAGGTTTTACTACAATAATCATTAAGACATTCCATTCACAATTTTACGTGATTTTTTACATTAGTTTACATAACTTAATCTGAAATGTACCTTTTGTTTTTACATGCCTGAAATGCAGTTCAGTGGTTAATAATTAAAAATCATCTGATGTACGAATAACTGACAGTATATAGGCAACTCATGAAAGAAATAAAAATACTTATTACTTGATTTATATTGAACTAAATTTAAGACTATTATGGATTTTTTTTTTATATATCTCGCTCATAAAGATTGAATTGATGAAATATACAACCTTTGTATAAACTTTCAGAATCATGAAAATACAATCTAATTATTCATTCATATAGATCACAATTGATTATATATTTATTAACAATTTCTATAATCTAATTATAGCAATTTACAAACCAATTGGTAATAAAACTTAGATTTATCTGTGGACATTTTCCCTAAAACTACAATTTCTCTCTAAAGGAAATCAAATAAAAAATACTAACAAAGTTGTAAGGCATAATTTCATTTATACTCTTTGATAAAGTGAGGATTGAAGAAAAACAACATGATATTAAAACTTAAACACCAAAGGAGGGTTCAACTCCAAACACTATTAATTGGGAGAATCTCAAGACTTAAATATCAGTCCAAATAGTTTATTACACTCAAACCCAGTATTTGGCTAGGGCTATTAGTAATTCATTCATGTAGCACTTATACCATGCCATCTATAGCTAATACTGCAACGAGAAACATGCATGCATAAATCAATAGTCCGATTCCACCTGAGTTATACCAAGAATGTGGCTTGATTTTCCAAATTGCATCAGACCTAAATACCAGTGGTTAGATTGCTCCAAGGGGATCATTAAAAGAAATTAAAGTTGTAAACTGAGAATCCACATGGAATCTGAACTTATTGTGAGTGTATTGGAAAGAGAAGAATGAAGTATCATTCGTATATTCCAATCTTGTTACTGTCTACAAAGATTAGCTTGAATATACAGGCATATCCAAGCATTGTAAAAAAGAAAGGAACAAACAACAGAAAAACAGAATTAACAGAATCTGTTTATACATGAGCAAAACTGAAGAAGAGATATACTATCTATATCAGCCCCCCCTCAAGCTGGGTGTAAGGATTTTGATGTCCAAGCTTGGAAACAACATCATGGAAAGGAGCAGGAGGGAGAGATTTTGTGAAAACATCAGCTAGCTGGCATGCTGAAGGAATATGAAAAGAGATGTATAAGGTCATCAGGAAGCTTCTGTCTGATAAGATAGCAATCAATTTCAACGTGTTTTGTTCTCATGAAAAGTGGGACTTCGCTATTTGAATAGCAGAGTTTCTATCACAAAATGTTGTATAAGGTGTGGTAATGGAGAGATGAAGATCTTGAAGGATGTATTAAAGCCATTGAAATTCACAAGTGAGGGAGGCCTAAGCACGGTATTCAACTTCTGATGAAGACCTTGAGACAGTTGTTTGTTTCTTGGATTTCCAAGAAATCAAGGATGTGCCAAGGAGAATGCAAAAGCTAGAGATAGAGCGTTGAGTGGTGGCTTAGGAAGCCCAATCAGAATCAGAATCCAGGTAGATTTTTTCGTCCAAATCATCGTGAAGAAATGCATTGTCAACATCTAGCTGTTGTATAAACAAGTGTTTGGCAGCAGCTAGCGCGAGGACAAGTCTCACATAAGTCAACTTGACAATTGGAGAGAATGTTTCAAAGTAATCTATCCCTTTGGTTTGTGTAAATCCCTTTGCAATGAGCCGAGCCTTGTATCTATCTACCAAACCATCTGCTTTGCTTTGACTCTATAAACCCATCCACAATCAATGGCTTTCTTGTCAGGAGGAAGAGGAGCTAATGTCCAAGTATGGTTTTGATTGAGAACATCTATTCCATTGCCTCATTGCAGCAGTCACTTTGAGCAGCTTCCTTGAAAGAAAAAGGTTCAACTTGGGCAAAAATGTTGTGACAAAAAGAAGCATGATTAGAGGAACATTTATCATAAGAAACAAAATGATGTATAGGGTAAGGAGTAGAAGAATTAGAAAACGAATTTGAAGCAGAACCACAATAGTAATGTTCTAAGTAACTTGGCTTGTTTTTAACCTGAGTAGAGGTTTCTGATATTAGGAGCTGTAGTTTGAGAATTATCAGAAACAGTGTCAATAGGAGTAGTATTAGGGGAAGAAACTGTGGCACGATTGACTAGATGATCAAGCAAGAGGATGAGTCGCCATGAAAGGTTTAAGAGAAAGAATAGCGGAAGCTTGCTAAACTGATACCATGTGAGTGTATTGGAAAAGAGAGAAAAGAGAAGAATGAAGTAGTATTCGTATATTCCAATCTTGTTACTGTTTACAAAGATTAGCTTGAATATATAGGCATATTCAAGCATTGCAAAAGAAACGAACCAACAACAGAAAAACAAAATTAACAGAATTTGTTTATACATGAGAAAAACTGAAGAAGAGATATACTATCTCTATCAATTATTGAATTTGAGTGCCTTCACTTTCTTTTCTTATGCTTTCTTTTGTGTACAAATATATTTTTTTCATATAAATTCTCTTCAATACATGTTAGGGATGTTTAGTCCTATAATAGGGACAAATGTACACAGAAAAAAAATGTGTTTTATTACCAATTGCTTTGTAAAACCCCTATAACGTGCGCTTCAATAGTTTTGACTTAGCTTCTTAAACAACTCTAATAGTTTTGAACATCTTTATGTCAGCTGGTCAACGTCTTATGAAGAGCTGCTTTCAACTAACGAACCTTTTGCAGAGCCAATTCCCTTACCTGTAAGATTCCTTTACCTGAAAGAATCTAATCTAATGCATAAAAAATGTATGTGTTCAAATGGATGTCATAATGTAAAAGTCTATTTATAGCATGCAAATCTCGAAGCTTGAACTATAATGTCAACAATCAAGTTAACGCTCTCTTGCCACTGTTTTAATTGTTGAATCACAAAGAACTTCAATTTCTCAAAGTATCTCTTATGCACAGGTCTTAGCTAGAGTCTTAAATTTAAGATTTAGGCCTTCTTAGAAATTCTCATCCAAACATGCTGATATGATATCGCGAGGGGTATAAATTTAAGACTGGTAAAATGTAAGGTGTAAAATTTGAAATTCAAAGAAACATTAAAGGGCATATCTTATAAGATTTTTTCATTGGAACAAAAATTGTAAGAGTGTTTTAAAAATGTAGTATGTAGAGACCCACTTAAGGTAAAATAAGATCTCATGAGAAGGTTTAATAAGACTGTTGCATTGGATATGCTCTCAATTTTTCTTAACCAATTTACACCTGCATCAGTAATTTTAACTCAATACTTGTTCATTCGTTTTGTAGCTTTACCAGCTATTCCATTTTATAGTAATTCATTTGAAGCTAAAAAGACTTGTTGCATAATATACCTTCCATGCACTGAAACAAAATTGGTGGATTGGTGGTGACTTACGCAGGAGATGGTAGATTTCTTAGTCGATATTTGGCATGATGATGAAGGCTTCTTTGACTAGATTGTTGGAAGTTTTGGTTAAATGTCCAATGAAACAAGAACTGTGTAAAGCCTCTAATATGCAATGACTTCCATTGCTCTTGTAGGTGTCCGCGTGCACTGATCATGATCGTAGAAGGAGACCATCTATGTTCTCCGCGTTAACCTCAGCATCTAATCCTTTTATATGTAGAAATGGTTAATGGTTATTATTTTGCATCATTTATCTAATGACAAATTTCATTATATATACACACACCCACCATAAAAAAATATATTATTTGTATCTCATGATCCATCAGCAAACAGACAAGTTCAAATCCATGCATTAAATAGATGGTTTGATCAATGCTACTTTTTTATTTCTAAATTCAATTGTGCCACAGTTGTGTTTTGTTGTGACTTCCGGTGACAGATATAGGATTTCTGATGGTGGAATCATTAATTTTTTGTGGAAGCAAAGAAGAAATATCTAAACTTTTGTAAAACACATAATATTATGATTAGAAAGATCTAACATATATATATGCAATTTGAAAATTGTTATTGTTTATTGTAGTAGCATCATAAAATTAATACTAAGTTATTCTTACATTTACATCTTATAACATTTTACAATTATTTTAGGGAAAAAATTATGTAAGCAATACTACATTCTTTATTGGAGAAAAATAATTGTTAAATATATACATTTTTTTGACGATCATTGCTCGCAGTTAGAGATGATAACCGGGTGGGCTGAGTATGAGTTTATGTATTTCAACTTCATTCTCCAAATAAATATTTATTCTCGATGTCTTAATACTTTAATTTGGGTTACATAGTCCAAAATGTATCTGGGTCTAATATTTTATGATACTTTATTAATATTTATTACTGTAGTATTTAATCTATAAAACAATAATATTTTTATTATGATTATATTTATAATTTTTAAGTTAACATCTTTAATAAATATGATTTTAATTTAAATTAACATAATAATAATTTTATATTTATTATATTTTTAAGAATTATTATATATTTTTTAATGTATATATCAAATTTTATTTTATTATTTTCAAAATAAACCTATCTTAGTAGATACGTGTTGTGTTCGAAACATATATTGCACATCATAGATTTTCACTCTTATATCTAAGTGGTGTGAAATGAAATTTTTATTTCATTTTCATCAAGAAAAAAGTAGAATTTTATTTTTCCTTGTATTTTAGAAAATAAATATCGTTAAATATTTAATATTAAAACAACACATTTTTCTAATATCCAATATTAATAAATAAATTATAATTATACAAATATATAATAAAAATATAAAACGATAATTAAATAATTATAAAAAAAATAAAATAATTACTTTAAAAATAAGTTAAAAATAAAAATAAAAATTAATATAATTTTTTAGGCTATTCAATAAATTAAAAACATTTTAATAATTTAAGAAACAATACATTTATACTTTTGGTGTTACTTTATTAATCCGTTCCCATCGTTGTTTTCCAATACATTTATTTAAAAAGTATCAACAATATATTCCGAACACAATTTTTATTATCAAACACAAATCAATTCACTTTAAACATAGTTTTAGTAAAATAAATGATTTTATACAGTTAAGATCATTCAGATGAAGCTGACTACATAAATGCTAAAATATTTATTAAAACACACAATAAAAGAGCCATGGATAAATTCCGGTATTTTATTTTCCCATCTAAACTTAAAAACCATTTTACTACTTTCACAACAGGGAGAATCTAATTAGAATAGCAGATGGTATCTACAGTACAACACGATGATTTGCACAGTATATCTAAAATGACTTTTTGTAGTTTTTAAAAAATCTTTATATACTGAAATTAAAGTCGTTGTTTCTTTTTCTATTTGTTTCAAAACTCCATTTGTGTCTGAGGGAAGGTAAAATAATAAACTGTTAGCAATTGTTATTTATTACAAATAGTAAAAACAATTAATTCTTATGTATTTTTACTATTTTAATCCTAACTATCTTTCATAATAATTATTTTTACTTATACTAACTGTTTTATTATTTTAGTAAAAATATGTCCACTGGTTTTAAGTACACTATAATTATTCCGTTAACTCTAAATAAATGTTGCACATTCCATTGCTGAAGAGAGAAAATTTCTCAAGTTGCAGTCCCCATGGACCATGGCAAACATTTTTTGCAAAACATCACAAAAATTTTGTTACGCCATCAGCAGTTAAAAAGTTACGTCAATATCGTTATCAATATCTGATTGACGTAACTTAAACAAAGAAGATTAGTAAGGTAAAGCACGATTAGATATTAATCAAACAAAAATGCATTAAAACGAATGCTTTGAAGTTGCATACACGATAGAAAGAAGTTATATTAACCTTTCAAACCATCTGGAATAGCAGGTACGTTTTCAACTAAAACATAATAATATTTTACTGTTAATAAATTTACTTTGAAGTTATAAATAAAAGATAAAGTAATACGTTTTCATTTAAGACGTTTTCAATATGTTTTTATATTATTAATTTTAAGAACCTATTAGAGTTAATAGATGTTTTAAATAAGGAGATAACTTATTTTAATTTTAAAATTTTAATAATATAAAAAGAGTTTTATTTTTATTTAAGATTTCTAACTCTTGAATCATTTTTTTTTACTATCTAAAAGTATCTAGATGATCAGTGATATCTACAATGTCATTCAATCCGTCTTCTATATAAAGTAAGTCAATTTCTACTCTCTTTTTCTTTTATTTTTAGTTTAAGACACATGTAAATGAATTTATACACGTGTCATTTAATCTTTTTTTTTTCTAGTTCTTTGTCGATTAGTGATTTTAAAGACTTATCCTGATTATAATTTTATGGTCTGTAGGTACAAATAGAGTCATCTGAATTGAGACAAGAGTATTTTGCTTTTTAGTGTTGTGTGAGTTTCCCAACTAAGTAAGGAAAGCTGATATTGTTTTAATCTTTTGTTAAGAAGTATGAATGTATGTTTGATAGTTTGTGAGATTTATGTTTTGTTTAATAAGTTCTTGATTGAAGATTTCTGAGTGATGTTGAGTATATTTGATGGGGAATTGGTAACTGTTTAAATTTTAATGTTGATTGTTTGAAGTTATAGAAGATATAATCCATTATAGAATTTATAGCAATGAAGAGGAGAGTGTTTTAGGGTTGTTTTACTCTGAATTGAGAGTTTGGTTTTAGAGGATCGAAGTTGGAGTAATAACTGATGTTTGGGATCGATATTAGAGTCATTTAAAATTTGTATAAAACTTTAGTTAACAAAAAGGAGTGATGTTAAATTGGGGAGTAACAAATTGATAAGAGTAGTAGGCTAGTTTAATGCTAAATAGGAATAGAAATTTTGATAGGTGAGATTTTGAGATAAAGATTAAATGGAGAATCCTGATGTTTAAAGTCTATTCTTAGGCTATTTAGGACTTGTTTAGAGGTTAAATTTATCAAATTGTGACGAGGGATGAGTATGAATGAATTATTGACTTAAATGGTTTTTAGTTTCAGTGAGTTAGAAGTTCATGTGAAAATAAGACTAATAAAGTTTAAGTTGAGTCATGAACACTTGAATGAGTTCAATTAAAGTTATATGAGAGTTGTAGATGCATGTGGAGTTGTGAGAGTGATAGTGTATGAGGTTATGAATTTATGAAAGTATGGTTTAAGAAGAGTTTCTAAGGAGAAATTTTTGTTGGTTGTTTCAAGGAGAGTAATGTATTATGTAGGGACTCAACATTTGAAGTTATCCTGATACTTTAATAATCACTTCATCTCAAAGAGGAGAGGAGATTATGTAATGAGGAGTAACAAAAGGTTCTAATCTATAGTTTGATTTTCTTTGTCATAGATAAGTGACATATTAATTTTGTGTAATAGCTTGAGAACAATTATTTCATCACTACAAATATACAACTTGCCATAGTCTAACATCAATACATATATCTGAAATGATAAAATCTAAAGAATTTTTTATGTTTATATTTGATTTAAAAATGAATTGTTATATGAAATTTTATAATTCCATTTAATATTACTTCTTTTATAACTTATCATATTTTTTTAATATTATTTCTGTATAATTATATATATATATATATATTGAATTATTGTTTTTATATATTTTAATTAATTACTCATAAAAGTAATAAAATTATACATACTTGAATGGAGTAGAAAGGTAAGATGCATGTGTAGTTTGGCACATTTAAAGACGGGTGGTTGTAAAGTATGGTTGTATGATGCCACATGTCCTTGAAAGCGAAACTTTCATAGCACGCAAGCACATTTTATTACAATCCTGAATTTGGGTTTCGCAGAACAAAGTGTGGGAAAGAAAATGGGACACTGTAACCGCTGCTTCTTCACTCTGTGCCCTCTTCTCCTTCTTCTGCTGCTTCCTTCTCCCTCCGGCGCGGATCTCCAATTTGATTTTCCGGCGAAGATCAGAGACCTTAACCTTTTTCCTTCACAAGATGTCAACATCGTTCGCCACCCTAATTCTCACGCCAACAAACTCGTCGAGAAACCCCTCAGATTCCCAAACTTGTTGACTCTACAGTCTGGCGTTTCACTCGACAATTTGGCTCATTCCGCTGGTTACTATCCTATTGCCCATTCTAATGCAGCCAGGTTTGCTTTTTTTTTTTTAAATAAAAAATTGATTGAATGTATATGTTTTCACTGTACCTTACGTGCATGTTGAGTTAAATGGTAAAACCCCAGTTTATTGTTGATAGTATCATTTGTTGTTTAACCTTATTTTTCTTTTCAGGAAAACAAAACAAGAAAAACATTAACCCTTTTAGTTATGGTTACGTTTGTCTAAACGACTTATTTAATACGCGAAAAACANTTAATAAGTTCTTGATTGAAGATTTCTGAGTGATGTTGAGTATATTTGATGGGGAATTGGTAACTGTTTAAATTTTAATGTTGATTGTTTGAAGTTAGAGAAGATATAATCCATTATAGAATTTATAGCAATGAAGAGGAAAGTGTTTTAGGGTTGTTTTACTCTAAATTGAGAGTTTGGTTTTAGAGGAGCGAAGTTGGAGTAATAATTGATGTTTGGGATCGATATTAGAGTCATTTAAAATTTGTATAAAACTTTAGTTAACAAAAAGGAAGGATGTTAAATTGGGGAGTAAGAAATTGATAAGAGTAGTAGGCTAGTTTAGTGCTAAATAGAAATAGAAATTTTGATACGTGAGATTTTGAGATAAAGATTAAATGGAGAATCTTGATGTTTAAAGTCTATTCTTGGGCTATTTAGGACTTGTTTAGAGGTTAAATTTATCAAATTGTGATGAGGGATGAGTATGA